TGGGATGGGAAAGGTTTGGGAATCCCAAAATTTGGGGAATGGGAAAGGTTTGGGATTCCCGAATTCCCAAAATTTCTGGGGTGGGAAAGATTTGGGAGCCGAAATCCCAAATTCTGTGGGGTGGGAAAAATTTGGGATGTGGGAATCCTAAAATTTATGGGATGGGAAAAGGTTTGGGAATCCCAGAATCCCAAATTTATGGGATGGGAAAGGTTTGGGAATCCTGGAATTTGAGGGGTGGCAAAGATTCGGGATCCAGGAATCCCAAAATTTGGGGAATGGGAAAGGTTTGGGATCCGGGAATCCCAAAATTTCTTTGATCCCATAAAAATTCCAGCACCTCCCTTCAATTCCTCCCCGTTTTTTACGGAATTTTGGGAATTTTTTTTGGACGGGATTTTGGGATTATTTGAGGATTTTAAAGAGGTTTTTGGGATTTTGGGGTTTTCTTTTTTTGTGGGATTTTGGGGTTTTTTTTGGGAACAGCCCCAGGGAAAAATCCTCGGGAATTTGGGGGAATTTTGTGGGATTTGGGAAACAGGAAAATTCCCAGGGAAAATTCTGGGATTTGGGGTTTTTTTTTGTGGGATTTAGGGAATTTTTTATGGGATTTTGGGAATTTTTGGTGGGATTTTGGGGTTTTTTTAGGATTTTTTGCTGGGATTTTGGGATTTTTTTTTGTGGAGCAGGAAGTTTCCCATGGAAAATCCCAGGATTTGGGGTTTTTTTGTGGGATTTGGGATTGTTTTTATGGGATTTTGGTGTTTTTTTAATGGGATTTGGGGTTTTTCTGCAGGATTTTGGGGTTATTTGTGGGGCAGGAAATTCCCCATGGAAAATCCCAGGATTTTGGGGCGGAATTTTGGGATTTTGGGGCTGAAACCCGGGATTTTGGGGCCAATTCCTGGGATTTTGGGGGCAGATCCCAGGATTTTGGGACTGTATCCCAGGATTTTGTGGCCAAATCCCAGGATTTTGGGGCCGAATCTGGGGATTTTGGGGTCGTTTCCCGGGATTTTGGGGCTGAAACCTGGGATTTTGAGGCCATATTTGGGGATTTTGGGGACAGATCCCAGGATTTTGGGAATGTATCGTGGGATTTTGGGGCCGTTTCCTGGGATTTTGGGACCTGATCCTGGGATTTCGGGACTGGATCCTGGATTTTGGGGCCGTTTCCTGGGATTTTGGGACCATATCCCACGATTCTGGGGCCAGATCCCAGGATTCTGGGGTCGTATCCCAGGATTTTGGGGCCAGATTCTGGGATTTTGGGGCCAATTCCTGGGATTTTGGGGGCAGATCCCAGGATTTTGGGGCCATATTTGGGGATTTTGGGGACAGATCCCAGGATTTTGGGGCCAAATCCCAGGATTTTGGGGCTGGATCCCGGGATTTTGGGGCCAATTCCTGGGATTTTGGGGCCAGATCCTTGGATTTTGGGGCCGAATCCCAGGATTTTGTGGCCAAATCCCAGGATTTTGGGGCCGAATCTGGGGATTTTGGGGTCGTTTCCCGGGATTTTGGGGCTGAAACCTGGGATTTTGAGGCCATATTTGGGGATTTTGGGGACAGATCCCAGGATTTTGGGAATGTATCGTGGGATTTTGGGGCCGTTTCCTGGGATTTTGGGACCTGATCCTGGGATTTCGGGACTGGATCCTGGATTTTGGGGCCGTTTCCTGGGATTTTGGGACCATATCCCACGATTCTGGGGCCAGATCCCAGGATTCTGGGGTCGTATCCCAGGATTTTGGGGCCAGATCCTGGGATTTTGGAGCCAATTCCTGGGATTTTGGGGCCAATTCCTGGGATTCTGGGGCTGGATCCCAGGATTTTGTGGCCAAATCCCAGGATTTTAGGGCCGAATCCCAGTATTTTGGGGCCAGATCCCAGGGTTTTGGGGCCAGATCCCAGGATTTTGGGAATGTATCGCGGGATTTTGGGGCCGGTTCCCAGGATTTTGGGGCCGTTTCCCAGGATTTTGGGGTCATTTCCCGGGATTTTGGGGCTGAAACCTGGGATTTTGAGGCCGTATTTGGGGATTTTGGGGACAGATCCCAGGATTTTGGGAATGTATCGTGGGATTTTGGGGCCGTTTCCTGGGATTTCGGGACCATATCCCACAATTCTGGGGCCAGATCCCAGGATTCTGGGGTCGTATCCCAGGGTTTTGGGGCCAGATTCTGGGATTTTGGTGCCAGATCCTGGGATTTTGGGGCCAATTCCTGGGATTTTGGGGGCAGATCCCAGGATTTTGGGACTGTATCCCAGGATTTTGTGGCCAAATCCCAGGATTTTAGGGCTGAATTCCAGGATTTTGGGACCGATTCCCGGGATTTTGGGGCCGTTTCCCGGGATTTTGGTGCCGTTTCCCGGGATTTTGG